CGCGGGGCCTGGGCCTCGGTCTTTGCTCAGATGCCGAAGAGGCGGCTTGTTCATGGTTTTGTGTTTGTGTCTGATGCACGTTCGCCCACGATAGACGCCACGCATTGTGTAGCCGCGGTTTTCCGGGACAGCCAGTCTTTTAGGAATTGTTTTTCAGATCTTCAATAAATCTTTCTTTAAATTTCAAAGAGCGGCGTGCTTGTGTGGCTGCGTTACACACCCTTCGTGTCCCTGTTCCCCTCGTGTGAGCCTGGTCTCAGGCGGTGGGCTTCCTGCCTGGCCTGGGGGGGGGCGCGGCTCCGGCCCCTGCCCCCGACCCGCAGCAGCTCTGGCGGTTCGCTGTCCCGTTCTGTCCAGTTCCGGCTCAGAAGTTAGGGGTTCCCGTGGCCGTGGCTGTGTTTTTCCTAAACCGTCACTAATTCTGATAATTGAGGGATTTTCACCCAAGTGACAGCTTGCTGTCCATTGTTTAGGGCCGTGGTCGCCAAACCGCCGCTCACGAGCCACATGCGGCTCTTTGGCCCCTTGAGTGTGGCTCTGCCACAAAATACCACGTGCGGGCGCCCACGTACAGTGCGATTGAAAAACTTCATGGCCCGTGCGCAGAAGTCAGTTTTCGGCCTGGGCGAGTCTATTTTGAAGAAGTGACGTTAGAAGTGGCGGGGGGTTGGTAGGTCAGTCGGCGGGATATGCAGCGCGGGGGAGGTACATTGTTTTGAGGTACGTTCGCTGGGGTTAACCCCTCCCACCTCTCCCATCCACACTCGTCTATCTGAAACCCGTCTACAAGACGAGTGTGGATGGGACAGTTGGGAGGGGTCGACCTCAGCGAACGGACCTCCATCAGATTGAGGACATTTTTAGCAAAGACCAGCTTAGGAGGGCTCTCATTAAGTGAATAACAATGTACCTACCTATAGAGTTGAAGTTTAAAATATTTGGCCCTAGCTGGTTTGGCTCAGTAGATAGAGCGTAGGCCTGCGGACTGAAGGGTCCTGGGTTTGATTCTGGCCAAGGGCACAGGCCTGGGTTGCGGGCTCGATCCCCAGTGGGGTGTGCAGGAGGCAGCCGGTCCATGATTCTGTCTCATCGTTGATGTTTCTCTCTCTCCCTCTCCCTTTCTCTTGAATCAATAAAATATATTTTAAAAATATAATAAAAAAAAATAAAAGTCAACTTTCCAGACCATCGCTGCTGAAATGACACCCTGGGCAGTAACTAGCGCTTCAGCACATGTGTGCGGACGCGGTGTGTAAAGTTGTCGGCTCCACGTTTGTTAACAATCGGGCAAGATGTGCGTGTGGAACACTTGGGGAGCGTGGACACACCTGTGGGATTTGTGTGTGTCCCTGGGCTGGTCCCTGGCCAACGACCATGGCCACCCCACCTTCCCCTTCCCACTGAGGCTGGGGGAACAGATGAGCTGGGGCCCTGGACCCCCTCTGTGCTGGTGTGGCCCTGGGTCCCGGGTTCCGGGGGCGGTGGGGCCCTGGGTCCCCGGGTTCCGGGGGCGCTGGTCCATAGCCGTGAGGTCCAGCAGTGAAGCAGAGCCTGTGTTGGTCCCCGTGGCTCCTGCACCCAGCGCTCCCGGGGCAGCAGGCGCCTGGCTTGGCTGGGGAAAGTCCAGTCGCCCGTTCCCACCCGAGTGGAGCCCTGTTTGCGGCGGGGGCAGGTCCCCCCGGGCTGTTCCCTGGGGTCGGGTTAGGGTTAGGGTTAGGGTTAGCCCTAGCCCTGTGAACCCCGCAGAGGGCGGTACCAGGCTCAGCCGTCCTGCTCCTGCTCCGGCGATGAGCCCGGCGGTCGGTCGTGGGGAGAAGGGACAGTAAGAGGGACATCTCTTGGGCGTGTTGCTCCTGTTTCAACATCTAGAGCAGCGGTTCTCAACCTGTGGGTCGCGACCCTTTGGCGGTCCAACGACCCTTTCACAGGGGTCGCCTAAGGCCATCCTGCATTTCAGATATTTACATGACGATTCATCACAGGAGCCACATGACAGTGATGACGTAGCCACGAAAATAATTTCATGGTTGGGGGTCAGTCCAGCATGAGGAACCGTATTTAAAGGGCCAGAAGGTTGGGAACCGCGGCTCCGGAAGATGGGGAACAATAATAGAAAAAGAGGAATTGAAAGTGAGGAAGGAGAACCAAGAGCTCCAGTGGTTTCGGAAGAACAGACGGGGGAGGCTTCTGTCTGGACGGACGGACGGACGGACGGGGCGGCTGAGCCGGGATGGGTTCCTGCTGCCGGGAGCGGTGGGGCCCGCGGTGTGTGTCCGCGCGTGGGCACCCGGCTGAGCTGTGCGTGTGTGAGCGTCAGGAGAAGGGCGGTTTGGTTCCTCCCGGACCTGAGCTCGGGCACGTGCTCTGACCACCCTGCAGGCCCCGCATCACGGACCCCCAAAGCGGAGACCCCAGAGCCGGGTGGAGGGCGGGCCTGGGGCTCAGGGCCCCGACAGGATCCGTGTCACCCACTCGGGCCACGCGCCTTCCCTCCAGCTTCCCAGGTGACGGATAAGCAGGGAGTCTCATTCCTCCCTCCCCGCCCCCCGTTGTCTGGGAATTTGGGGGCCACTCCCCCTCCACAGCCACATGGCGACCCGACAGGTGTGCACGCTGGGTGTCCTGGGGGCCACAGCTGTCCCTGTTGTGAGGTCTCCCCACCCTGGGGGCCTGCACAGGGCGGCAGGGCCCCCCACGTGGCGCCCTAAACTGCTCTCAGCGTCACTGGCTCAGCCTTTGCGCCTCGGAGCAGGGGGGCCCCACATCCCCCGGGGCTGTAGCCCGCTTGCCCCCTGGGGGCCCCTGTCCCCTGGTCCTTCAGCTCCGGGCCTGGGTCAACCTTGGTGTCCGTCTCCTCCCCTGGGGAGTCCCCTGCGGGCCTTTCCCCAGAGAGCCTGCGCCCCCAGGGCTGGCCCTGTCGGCACCCTCTGGGGGCCTGGGCACCCGTCACCGCTGGAGCAAGCTGCTGGGTTTCCATCCCCACGGCCTCGGGGCTGGTCAAAGGGTGGCTCCCCCAGACTCACCGATAGCCGGCTGGTGTGGCTCAGTGGCTGAGCGCCGACCTGTGAGCCAGGGCACAGGCCTGGGTTGTGGGCTCCATCCCCAGTGTGGGGTGTGCAAGAGGCAGCTGATCCGTGATTCTCTCTCATCATGGATGTTTCTCTCTTTCACTCTCTCCCTCTCCCTTCCTTTTTTTAAAAAACATATTTTATTGATTTTTTACAGAGAGGAAGGGAGAGTTAGAAACATCGATGAGAGAGAAACATCAATCAGCTGCCTCCTGCACAACCAAGGCACATGCCCTTGACTGGAATCGAACCCGGGACCCTTCAGTCCGCAGGCCGACGCTCCATCCACTGAGCCACACCGGTCAGGGCTCTCCCTTCCTCTCTTAATTAAAAAAAACAAACCAATATATACCAAGAATAATATAAGGAAAGTACCTAATCTTAACCTTGATGGGGGGTTGGGTTCCCGCTGGTGGGCTCGGCCCCCCTGGGCTTCTGGGGGCCCGCTCCCCGGGACCCATGTGAGTTGCTTCAAATTACGTTCAAAGTCAGGGCTCTGGGCCTCATTGGAGGCAGCAGGGAGGGGCTGCGAGCCGACTCGAGCGAACCCCGACTGTGCCGATGCTGTGGGCGGGCATGTTGCTTGACCACACTCTGTGCCTCAGTTTCCTCCTCTGAAAACGCGGGGGGGGGAGGGGTCACACAGTGTCTGCCTCGTGGGAGAGCCATGAGGAGCGGGTGCG